TTAATATAACCGTGTATTCTAAACTCGAACTCAAAATTATTAATTAAACCGGAATAACCCCAACCAGCCATTATTCGAAATCCCTCAACTAGACTCACCTTTCCGTTTATTCTTCTCTCCGCATGCATTTAATTTGTCATATTAATTATGAAGTATCTCCCTTATAGCTGTTGACTAACTTGTAGCCACTTGATATCCAAAAGATGCATGGTTCACGCTAATGACCCTTTACAGCACCATTTTCTAGGCAATAGTACCATATTGTATTTGCTGTCTATGTACCGTGACCAAGTTGGCAGGCTCATGTTACCGTAGGAACCCCCAATTCTCTCGCAAATACGACTTTTCTGATAATATCTTCACATGTACCTGCAGTTCTTTTGTCAATCTTCTCACCGTCCCTCGGAAAAGCAGCGTCGTTCTAAAGTATGAAATATCATAAGATTTTGTGACTACTTTTTAGTGCAATACCAGCTTTTATTCTTTAAAAGGAGAGGTTAATTTGAATTGGACACTATGGACTAACTATTGAAAGAATACTTTTATTAGGTTTATCTGTCGTAAGTTTAAAACGACGTTATTTTGGGTGAAATTTTTTTGTAATTTTAATTTATTTTAGAGTTATTATAGTCTTTATAATTATAATTTTCTAATTTTCAATCTCAAAACGAAGTATTTTTAAAAGTAAATACATATAACTTATAGACATTAACTGTATAAATATTTTTGTGCTTTTCTTTTACTATTACGAAATGTTATTGGGAGGTCCCTGATTTGATCAACCCAGATGATCAAGTGCTGAACTTTTTGCCAGTTGAGTGTGTTCTTGTTGAACGCCTTTGAAATTTGAGGTTGAATATGCAGTATAATTTTTGTCCGCATATGCCTGTATCCTATCTATCACCTATGTACAGATTTCAAGCGCACAAAGTGGCTCATGCTGAAATATGATGATGGCAATATAGAATTAATTGTAAGCATATCCTAATCAAAATGAGGCCCCTTACTTTTCATTTTCGTACTGGGGGGGGTCTATGCTTCTCCAAAATTTTGTATGGTCATACTATGGACTTATGTTGAAATTATTTGTAGTATTAGTTAGGTTAAGGTCCATCATGACCAAACTGGGCTCCACCATGAATTTAGAAACCAGAAATTTTCTTTTGTTTTCAGGTTCCATCCCCTCCTTCTTGACCATATTGAAGCTGATACCTGATAGTCATTCTGCTTTATCTGAGAGGATAATTTGGTTCTAGCCAAAGTGACCCCTGACCTGACGACACCACTTTCTTTTTGAAAGTTGAGCTTGGGCATCGCTTCTCACTGAGTGCTCGTGCTATTTTTAACAAGATATTTTTGTTAGAACGAATTCCAAACGCACAGGGTACCATGGTTCCATGTCACTCTAGAAAAATATACCAAGTAGTTGAGATGGGACAGAGTAATATAAGAGTTTTAATGGATTCTAAAGGAGATATTATTGGACTGCTCTTCACCTCTCCTTCAAATCATGTACCCCCCAAAAAATAAAATGTATGGCCTTTTTAAGTTTTAATGGGGTTTGAAGTTCTAAGGCTTTGAAGCCTCAGTTTTAGATATTCCACGAATGAGTTCATTGTTATAAGTATTGGGGTATAACAAGTTCTCCTGGTTCCATTTGAAGAACAATGTGACATACCATGATGTCCACATCGGGGCCTAAGACTTAGAGCAACCACCTATTATGGATGACCCATTTGTCAATTTTGTACAAGGGAGTGGCCCCCCCACGTCCATCAAGTTGAGGAGTCCTGATGGCATTCTTAAGGCTAGAATTTGTTTACTTTTTGTGTATGCATGTACTATATATATGTAATGTGGGGGGAAAGAAAGAAGAGTTAATAAGGGGAATGGAAAAGTAAAGATCATATTGTAAAAACTAAAAAGTATTGCACACGCACAAACGCACATCTTCCAAAGTTTTCAAATCCTGTTTAGGAATGGACAAAGATACTGAGGCAAGGGATGATGCTACTTTCTCTCTTTTGAAAACTTTTTCTTTAATGGCTATCTGTATTATGATTAAACTTTTGAGGGGCTAAAATGAGCAACTTATCTAAAGAGATTCCGACAATCTGACTTGACTAGTGTATTATGGGTGATTTATGGACAAGAACCATTTATTATTAGTGCATGTCTCATCCCTTCAATGGACAATATACGACTATATGTACTTACTGGCTGGACTATTCGTGCATTTGGACATTTTGTATGGATGTGGTAGGTTCGAAGGGAAAATCAATGGCTAAAGAAATCTTTAAAAAAGATTTTAAACCAGATAAAACCATATTAATTCATGATGACAAGTTGACAACTCAGTCCAAAACAAAAATTCCGTTGTGAGCAAATCTAATATATTAGGAATTAACCATAAGCACAAATTTGAACTTCAGGAAATGAAATGATACTGTATAATACCCCATTTATAAAACTCTCTGCGTTGCATGACTCGTTTGCGTTGCACATGAAAATTCACACAACTTTCCTCTAAAGTTGCCATTGTGATATGGTCCATAACTTATAAAATGAGAAACAGGTTCACTTGGGAAAAGGCGAAGATCAATCCTGGAAATAGTGCTCAGAAAGAATGCGTGATTAATTAATTAATTAATTAGAGATAAGATACTTGCAAGTGAAGAAGCTTAATCCAGTGGCATAGCACAGGACACATACTTTAGTGGTTGACCTCGTGCTGAGATCAGCTATGGAATGTGCTTAACACTTAACAGACTAAAGTTGTGAAAACCTAAAACCCTTTTAGCTTCAACTACCTATTATATTTTTCCTTCTCCCACCAAGGCACCAACACCACCCACTACCACTGCCAACTAGTTGTTGGCTTCCTTGTTTGTAATTTTGTACGTTAGATTCTGCATTCTGGCTCTCCACCATTATTTTATCAACCATGATATCATTGAAAAATGCATGATTATATAATATCTTAATGTGCACAAAGGCATTAATGTATCCCAACCCCAGTATCCTACACGTGGCTCACATACTCAAATGATCAAGTAGTGGGCCAAACCCCAGATGGATCTTCACCAACTAGCCCAAAGAATCAACTTTTTAGAACTGCAATTCATCATAATTATTGCTGAAATAATCAGCGCGTATAGTATACATGCTTAGTAAACAGTATAATGCGTGTAAAAATCTCGTAGATTTTGGAGGATACCCCCTTAAAATTAAAAACACATGGAGTTTCCTTGCATTAAAAATGAATTAAATGACACGAGTTAGGTGGGTCGTATTTCTAATTTTAGTGGGTGCACTATCACTGAAAGTTTATCCGTGAAAACTTGGTTGGGTTCTGGTTTTGTGCTGATCCCTTATTCATTCAGGACCATGAAATGTGATGGAGATTTAATCAAAAAGCGATGGACTTGGTCTGCGGTCTGGCCAGTAGGTAAGACAGAACCATCAAAATGGTCATTCAAACATATCCGACGATTCTAGTTGAAACAAGTGATGCAGTGGAAAAGAATCATAGTTGTGCTAGGTCATTATGAATTTGTTTTTGCTTATTGTTTCTTTTTTCCTAGGGGACAGTGATGATACACGTAAAGAAGAACCAAAGGCAAACAGAAAAAGGACATGGTTAAAAGGCAATGACAACTGTTTTAATGGCAATGAGGGGACTATACCCACCATGAGCGATATGGATAAGCCAAGCCAAGTAATGAGAACCGAGTGTTCCTTTATTCTCTCCGTTCAGTGCTCCTGCACAAGCCTCTTCTTATCCTCTCACCAAAGCAAATCTGATTCATGATACATGGTGAGCGTCAGAGACATGGGAAGAGAAGGGAAAATGGCGAATTGCAAGGGGGCAAGTGGGAAGCGGATACCATTGGGTTTGGTCCACTTGCTGCACCAGCAAATGGATAGACAAAAAAGAAAGCCAAGCTTTGCTTCCCATCACTTATTTGCACAGTCAGATCCCACTTTGATGTTTAGTTTGCTTTTACCATTCTGCCTCATGCCAGATTGAATACCAACAAGACAGTGAGATAGATTTATCTCCTAATAATGAGAGAGATAGTCCCATAGTGGACTTGGACGCTTTATAACGCAAACGAAGGAGGGGAGACCAGTCATCAAATTATTGGTCCCCTCACATCCTATGGAAGCCATATATATTTTAATACATACATATACATCAGCATAATAATATATATATTCAACGCAGAATGAAATTCTTCAGACTAGCTAATAAAGTTTAGCTCATTCCCTCTATAAAACCAAATAGGCATGTGACTTAAGATGGCTTGTATGAGGTTCCTGAGCAATTGAAAGAGCCCGCAGGCTCCTCACAAGGATATGATATGATGATAGACGATCAGGACCATCAAACACCCCTCTTTTTCTCATAAAAGGGATCCTCACAGCATGTTATATCGGAACCCCACGGGGAGAAAGGGGGTCCTGCAACGTGTACTTGAAAAACACTTTCCACACATAATTAATAGGTATCTCTGTCGATCACTCCACATTCAGAAAACGAAAGACATAAGACATTATATGGTCCATGCATATTCTGACATTTATTAACCATCTCACAATTCCTAACAATAACAATAAATTCAACAATCAAATGCTACAGCAACACATCTGAGAAAAAATAAAAACATTGAGATTAGGCAGACAGAGATATGTTCATATCAGTCTGGGGATTGGATTCTCTCCACCTACATCTTAAATTAACTATCATTTGAATACAAATAAACAGACTAACTTGCTTACAAAGGGAATACTTTTTTGCTTCTCTACTGGTATTGTATGGTGGAAAAGTTTGAGGACATCACCTCTACAAACCTTCTGTTTTGATCCTTCCTTCTGAATCTGCTCTCAATGTACACCATCTATTTGATCAAGGATATGAAATAACAATTGCTAACCAATCTCCAGAGCAGCTTCAGTAATCTCTACTCCCCCCCCCCCCCCCCCCCCCCTCTGGCTGTTTTCCGTTATGATAAAATGAATATAAAAGGGAAAATACATAAACTTAAGCTGTGATGATACAACAACATTGAATGGTCCAACACCTGTATGACTTCATCCTCCCCCTTAACCCTCCCTAATTCTCTATTCCAAATCCGAAACCTGGGTCCTCTAACATAAACAAGGCCAAATGGAGAAATGTTTCCCTCCAGAATAGCATCTTTATGGCCTGCCATCACAGCAGCCCACACCAAGAACAGGAGTTGTTAGCTTAACTTTGTTTCCCATGGATAGCATAAATCTTCTGGCAGGTTTATTTAAAATCCCCCGCTCTATCATATTTAATTCAACAGCCACCATTGGAAAAAGCTAAAAACTTCTTTAATTAAGAAAACTAATGCAGGATGGTAACAACTTTTGGAGCATCATCTCGTGGCCCGTCAAGAGACCGATACATGTACAATATCTCAATATCATCAACTGCAGCCGCTTCACTGTTGATCACTTCCAAAACTAGGTGGGGCAATGCTCTTGCAACTTCTTGGCAAGCTTGACGCGTCAATTTACACGATGACATCCAGAGGAATCTCATGTTGTAATAATGATGCAAACCAGCTCGCAAAGCTCCATCCCCAAACGGACTATCCCTGATTTCAAGCTTTTGCATATTAGGGCATCCTTCTAGCACATATTTAAGCCCCAGGTCAGTGTCTCCAGCAAAGGCAACTGACAGTGTCCTAACCAATTTCCCATACCTCCCAATGTATTCAAAAACTCGATCAGTCAGCAAACCAGACATAGCAAGCCGAGTGAGCTTCTTGCAATTCATAACAATGGCACCAAAACCCTCATCCATGGGTTCTTGAGTCACAGGATCGGGTCGATACTGCCCAATTATACAGAGACGAAACACCACAAGATCCGGGCAGTTCTTTGACATAGCTACCACAGCAGCATTTGTCATTCTTTGGCAGAAAAACAAAATTGATTCCAATCTCCTACAACCCTGAGAAATTGCTTCAAAGCCTACTTCAGAGACCGGACCTTCAGACTCTTCCCGTGTGTTCACAGGGAAAACACGTAGCTCGCGTAAATCTTTGCAAGTTGCAGCCACGGCCTGAAGGCCTTCATCACCTATTGAATCAAGGACCTGCAAAATAAAAGCAGAACATTATTAACCTTTTAAAATCCTGATCCCTTTCCTTTACAATGCAGCCAAACACAAACACATACCCATAATATCTGTAGTTTATGACAGTGGCATATAATCGACTTCAGCTGAAGGGCATTAACATCAGCATAGCTTAAATTCAAGGATGTGAGATTCGCGCAGACCGGATAAATAGCAGGAAGGTAATCAGCCCAAATATCCCTGAATCCAGATAAACAAACCAAGGATCTGCAAGCTGCAAACGCAGATGCATAATCTGGTTGTTCCTGATCACCCTCAGTAGCACTGAAGGAACCTGTTCCAAGATGCGTGAGCTGTGGAGCTCGAAGCATTAACCGGTATAGCTGAGACATGGATACATAACGATTCAACCTAAGCTTCTTCAAGCAAGGTGACCTACCCACAAGCCCCTCCAACGCAGCGAAATTAACAGGACTCTCAACACAATCAAAAACAAGAGACTCCAAATGAGTTTCACTCTCAGGAAAACATGATATCCAATCCACTTCATGATCATCATCATAAACCTCAACCACAGATTCCACAACTTCAAGCACCCTCAGCAATCTGAACCAACAAAAATAAAAAAAAAGGTATAAATTCAGATAAAGATTCTTCCTAGTCTCAAGATCCAATGACAAAGGCATTCATACCTGCACTTGCCGGCAACGGCGGCGAGTCCACGGGTGCCGAACCCTTCGCAGCAAACGAGGACAAGTTCCCGGAAACCGGAGAAGGAGGCGGCGACGAGGGCGAGGTCGTCGTCGGTGACGGACATGCGTTTCAGGTGGAGCTTCTCAAGCCCAGGGTAGGCCTGAGCTAAGGCGGCGCCCCACGGCGAAAAGTGGGCCCCCCAATCGGCCGGCATCAGATCGAAGTCCGCGAACCGCGGCTTGCCCTTCACGGTAACGGACCGGACACGGCTGAACCTGGCGGTGGCGCGGCGAGGCGACACCGCGTAGCAGTTCCCGATGAAGAGTTCGGATCGGGTGAGTGCCTCCGCACGGTACCACGAGCGGCACACCAATGACGCGGCGTTGCGGTCGCGCCGCGACGAGAGGAAATGGAGCACGTTTTCCAGTACGTTCTCTAGGACCTGGTCCGGGAACGGAGCCTGGAACTCCATGGGACCCGACCCGGAACCAGTACCCGGTAACCCGGTGCAGGTTCGGGTCTTGGAGGAGGAGGACGAGGACGAAGAAGACGATTCGGTGATTTCTGCCCTCGCGAGATCCAGAAGAGACGATCGGTGATCGTCTTCGGAGTTTGTTGAAGGATGGTTCTCTCTCATCTATTTCGATGATTCTTTTAATTTTAATTTTTTAATTTTTTTGTTGGGTGATCTGGGAACTGTGGCTTTCGATTCAAAAAGATGGAATCTTTGATTGGTTATTGGGTCTTGGTGGGTTATTGGATTTGTGGGGTGTGAGGGAAAATGGGAGTGTTAGTAAGATAGAGGTTGGAACTGGTACAGGAATTGGAAAGCATGTGTAAAGAGAGAGAGAGAGAGAGAGAGAAAGAGAGTGAAGTTGGAAATGATATGATAATGGAAGATGGGAAAGAGAGGGAGAGAGTGTGTGTGTGTTAGAGAGTAAGGATTAGTTTAATTGGTCACATAACAGGGCCAGGGAGTGACAACAGTAAACTCTGCTGTCTGTGTCTCTCAGCTTTAGCATTGGGATTCTCTATGCTCTCTCTCTCTTTCATCACAAATATCCAAATCTCTCTCTCCCTCTCTCTCTTCTTCTCATTCATTATTTGAGAGATTTTGGTTTCCCTTTCCTTTCATTGCTTTTGTACTTCTTTTTCCCCCTCTTTTTTTTTTTTTTATGTTGTTTCATTTGGTAATTTCTCAACTTATTACAGTTTTTTCCGATTTATAATGTTAAGTTTCTGGATTAGCCCTTCATTTTGAGTTATTTATGCAAGGATTAGATTTCTTCTCTCAAACTTTCCAAAAGCCAAAAACTGAACTATCAATGTCACAGTATATACTCAACTTTCGTATGAGTATACTCCTAGTCATAATTTTCTACGAATATATCTATCGGTTTTCTTTTGAATTGAAAAACAATACCGTACTCATAATTCTCAGCAATAAAAAACAAATCATAATTGCATATGCTCAAATTGCTTTACACCAACTAATATTTTGAACAAACCAAGTCCTAACAACTCACATTATATATTGAAGACCATGGACCACTTTTAGAATTGACTGGACCACCACTTACCAAGTTTATCATCAATTTCCGTTGCGGTAGTCAAATTTATATGTGTGCAAGTTAAGACACAATTTGTTTTTTTTATTTATATCTCAAATAAAAATAACCGTTTTACTTGCAAACTCAGTACCTGTTTACCATTTTTTTTTTTTAGTTTTTTTTTCTTAAAAAAAATTAATCAAATATAATTTTATAGAAGTTCTTATTATGAAGAAAAAAAATTAAAAGTTCTCGGAGGAGTTTTTTAATATATATGTCAATTTTTTGAAGTCATTATATTTATTTTATAGTTTTACCATTGTTTTAAACTTGTATTTATAAATTTGGATTCGTTTTTTCTGCACTAACTCCAAAAACATTTTTTTCTATAAATTTTATCTTTCTTACCAATAATTCATCATAATAACAAATTATTTCATAAGAATAAATTCAACTCAAAAATTCAAACTTTTTATATTATTCTCTAACACACTTTCACGCTAAAGCTAGAGATTTATTCCATTAAGAAGTGAGGTGGTGAGAATCAAACTCATGACCTCGTGTTCATTAAATTGTTGGATAAGAACTTTTTTAATGGTTTATACTATTCTCTAATACATATTAGCTTCTTCAAAACCATTAAAATTACTTTATACAATCACCAAATAGATTTTAACTTTTTTAAAGTTTTTAATTTATCTTAAAAATAGCTTTTAACTTAAATAATTGTACCAATTAGGTTCGTCCTCGCTTGGATTAAATCATGTAATAGCATAACAGTATATTGTAATTATTTACTTTTGGGAAAAGTTTACTAATGTATATCTGATTTGTTTCAGAATCACTTATGTCTCTGTTATTTTTTTGATCACATATGTCTCTGTGCTTTGTAAAAAATAAAAAACCACAAAGACATATGTGATAAAAAACATACCCTTTTGCAAACCACAAAGACATATGTGATAAAAAAAAATTACAGGAACATAGATGATTTTGAAGCAAATCACAAGGGGATCGGTGAACTTTTCCCTTTACTTTTTATGCAAGGACAAAAAATAACATTAAAATTTGAATATATTTGAGGGAAAAATATAATAACACTTGTTCATAAAAATAATAATAGAATAGCACTAAAAAAATGTTTCGATACATGAGAAGAATATTAATAGCATATTTAATTAAAAAAGTTAATCACATAGATAATAATTCAATAATTAGAAATAGAGATAGATTATGAAAAAATTTAAGCGAAATTATTAAAAAAATTATCAAATGACGTCTACAAATTTATATTTTTGACAAAAAAAAGGGTAATATCATCACTTGATTTATATAATGAACCCCGTCCAAGGGGGAAAGATTTTGATTATTTTGATTATTAAAAGAAAAGAGAGGAAAGCAAACAAAGTATGCCAACCATTACCAATACAACAAAGTGCGTGATAATTAAATTAGCAAAAACACTATTTGAATATAGAAAGTCGTGTGTTTTGCAGCGAAAAGTTCATAAGGAAAAAGTAATTATATATATATTTAGCTCAAAAGATTTAAAAGATTAGTAAAGAATCTTGACCATTAAAACTAATTCTTTTTACGTGAATTATTAAAAAAATATGGTATATCGGTTTGAGGTTTGGAACTTGCCTAAAGGGATTAATTTTATGGGATTTGCATTTCTCATTTAACACGACACAACAAACTTTCTTACACACACAATATTTTGTAGAGCCCACATTTTTTGAAGAAAAAAAAAAAAAATTATGGCACACAAAACGAATCTCTATAACATTACACAATTACTTTTCTTACAATATAACTCTTATAAAACCCTAATTTTATTTGTTTTAAATAATTTTCATCACTGATAAATTAACACATAATAAGAGCACTTTGCCGAGGGCAATATAAAATTACTTTTAATCAACATCAGTTAGCAATTGAAAAATTTTAATGCATGCTAAAGGATAGGATTCGTAAAAAAAAGAAAAAAAAAAATAGTCTTTCATTATTTTTTTATGGTGGTTGAGTTGAGTCTTTAATTAATTTATTGGTAAATATTAATTAGTAAGTCATTTTTAAATACTACAACAAGATTTACAGATCATAATCTTAGATGGTCTAACTTTTCTTTTCCCTAAATTTTCGTTTATTAAAAAAAATATTATCACGACATCTCTGCTCAATTCACCAACTCTTTCCAAATATAATACTTCTTTTCCCCTTTAAGATTAACGGAAGATTTTAGCAATTATTTTTGTTTAGGTTAGGTTGACGTGTTATGTAAAGAAATATTTCAACTCAAGAGTTTAAGTTGGTGGATGAAGGTTTTTTTAATGTTTTATACTATTATCTAACATGCTCCTTCACAAGAGAGTCTGATACCATATAAAGAATCATTTTAACCCAAAAATTTAAATTGATGGATGAAAGTTTTTTAATAGTTTATATTTTATACTATTCTCTACCATGTTATTTGAAGGTTTATTGGAGAATGAAGCTTTATTCATTTGAAATAAAGAGGTTTTAATTAAAAGCGATATAATTTCTCATGTTATATGGGATAATTTGTTCATACAACATACAAAAAAGTGGATGAGATTCGTTTATTTTCTTTTTTTCTCTTCTCCTTAATGAGTCTTATCCATTTTTTTTATGATTGCATGAGACATCTTATAATATAAGAAACAATATCTCCTTAATTAAAAGTGAAAACGAGAAAGGATTGAAACCTTAAAAAGATAAAGAGTAAAATATTATTTTTGGAAATTAATACAAAAGTGAACCCACAGTTGGGAACCATCATCAATGGGCTAAATAATATCAACTATAACAAGAGGTTCAAATATCACGTCTCAATCCAAAACCTTAAAATATTGAATTTATGAATTCGTCCATTTATATAATATTTATTTAGACCATTATTAACCAATATAAAACTTATCACATTTGACTTTTATCACTATTGTCTTCAAAGTAAAGTATTATTTGGAACATATAAATGTATAAAGGGAAATACTACTCTCATTTTACATGAGGTAGTTATCTCTTTTTCTCTCACTTCGAAAATTGTGCCCCTTCTTTTTTCTTTTTCTTTTTTGCTTTTAAATAGCGAGCCCTACTTGTAACCGCCTCTGAAATCCGTCGTGGAATTGTGATATTCAATTACGGTTTATTAGGACGTCGTTGTTATGTATTCAACGACGGTTGGCCCCTGACCGACATGGATTATCTGTCGCAAAACACACATTTTATTGTAGTGAGAGTAATATTACCCATGTATTAAATTGGAGCTAAGGCTTAAAAGCTCAAATAGTTTCGCCTTTAATCCCAAAAAATTCTTTCAAAGGATTAGATTTGCGACATGATATTTGATTTTCACACTCTTGGAAATCGATAATTATACACAAATTGCAAATGAAAAGAAAAAGAGAATTGACATAGTGATTAACTTGGTTCACTTAATGTAGACTACGTCCAGTTTGTCTGTACTATATTCATCTCATCACTACTTGTTACAAGTCACTCGGTTTACAAGAAAAATATAAATAAGATTATAAAACTCTAAGAGCAGCTATTCATGGGTTTAAGCCCAAACTATTAAGAAAAAGAAAAATTACAATAAATCAGAAATCCACAATAGCACCTAGCCTTTATGCGTAATTGTCTTTCTGTTAACCCCAACAATAAAAGTCTTCATCAACATACGAGGCCATACTCAATAAAAATAAACTCTTGCGGCCAAGAATGTTATCTCTCGGGGTTTATTTGTTTTTTTATTTTAAATAATAACAACCTTAAAACCAAAACAAATAGTACATAAGATGAAGTACAAAGAGTTTAAATAATATAAATTGTCTTGTTATAACATTCTCCTGGCTAAATACCATATATAATAAATCTCATGTTGTAGAGACAAAAAATATGTGAGACTCATATGTTAGAAAAAATTATATGTAGAATTCACGTTAACATAAAAATCGAATGATGTATAGAAAGATTTTAATTTTCATGTTGAATGAGAATTATAAAACTCATGTTCATAAGTAAGTACGGTGAACTAGTTGAAGGGGATTTTGATAATTTAAAAATGGGATTTATTAATCTCCTTTAATAGAAGATAACTTGCATCATGCCATACAAACAAATTATACGAGTTCCATCATTTTTTTAAAATATTAAAAATAAAAAAAGAATGGCACAATTTTTTATGCCTCACTAGCATAAGATAATTGTCTCTTGTAAAAGGAGACAATTTAATTTATAGATTTTATTAATTTTATGTAAAAGGAGATAAGTTATTTCATGTCATAGAGACAAACTTGTGGGCTCCGTCATATGAAAAACAAATGTGATACAGTTATCGAAAGGTGTGCAGGAAGGAATACTTATCTCATGTAGTATGAGAATAGTTTTTCCCTTTCTTTATTTATGATATTTATATAGTTTGTTAAGGATAAAAGAAATAGATGATATGTAAAAGCAGTTTAATTTCTTTTTCCTTTTAATCTTGACTTGGTTCGAGTTATGGTCC